GAAGTCCCTTAATATACCATTATTGCATTTTCCGAATCACAAAATTAGTAGTTTACTTGTTTTAATATTTCATGTAGATCCAGAATGGAATCGTGGGCAGGATAAATCTCGATAAAATCACACAGGAAAAGGGAAACAATGGAGCACCTTAGCTTTTGTCTTTATTCAAGACATCTTCAGAGGCAACTGCTCTCTCTCTCTCTCTGGTTTCATTTTTGCAGTACCATATGTATCCTCATATGATGCATGTCTCGGTGTAAAGTGGTCCATAATCAGTACAGGTACTGTACGGTAATTTTATAACATGAAAGTTGCATTTTTATCCTTAATTTCAGGTAATGTAAACAAGAAATCAGATATTGACAAATACAGGTACTCCCTGACTTACGACAGGGTTAGGGACCGACATCCAGGTCGTAAGTCGAAATGGTCGTAAGTCGGATATGCTTAAATAACACATAGAAAATAAAAAATTTTGGTCTCTTTTTCTTCTCAGCACCACAAAACACTCACTTTTAAGCTTGCCAGCCATTTTAAAGTGAATTACAGATGAAACTATTGTCTGTGTACTGACTTTGGGACTCAAAAATATACATAATTTGACCACATTTTGGTACGAATGAGGCGGTCGTAAGTGCGGGTGGACGTAAGTCGAGTAGGTCGTAAGTCGGGGAGTACCTGTACTGCATTGTATATTCGCCCAAAGGTTAATTCTGTACTGTTTAAAAAATCTAGAGCTTGTGAATGAGTATGACAAAGCAATTGTTCTTTGTTTATGTTATAAGATTGTTGCAATTCATATTAATAATTTTTTCTGGAATATTGGTTTATATAGAACCTCTACTTAAAGAAATATTTTAAGTACAGTATTAAGCTACCATGATTGGAGATCTGCATATCTGTAGACCCAGCTATGCTTCTATATGCATGTGTTGGGGGGAAAATGTATGCAAAATTATACAGGAATCTTATTAAGCATAGTTGTGCTATTCAGCTATGTTGAAATGTAAGATACCCGACAAGAATTATGTTAATTAAGTAATTTTTGGGTGGAGTTAATTAATATTGGATACCTGAACTATCTGCAAGTGCCTAATCTTGAAAAGGTTCATATTTAACCCTTAAACTGCAGCTATGGGGAAAAAATGGATGATCTGTGCACAAAACAGGGGGCCTCTGGGTTACGAACGAGTTCTCTACTTGAGGACGTTCTTAAGTAGGAAATGTACGTAAGTCGGAACACATACCCTATGTGCGCTATATCACAGCCCAAGTCCTTTTATACATCTCAAATCACTTAATTTAAGAAAAAAGAAGAAATTGAATGACAAAATATAAAGAAATGTAAAAATTAAAGTTTAACACTTAAAGAATACAGTGACCCCTCGGTTAACGAACTCAATCCGTTCCAGAAGGTCGTTCGTTAACCGAAAAGTTCGTTAACCGAAACCATTGTTTCAATGGGTTTTTGGGTAATTGGTTCCAGCTCACCGAAAATTTCCTAAATTCAACAAAAATGGTAGAAAAGTTCACTTACTTTGAGGTGTGTTTGTAGAAGGCTCCTGGATGATGATGATGATGATGATGGGATTTAGAATGGGGGTGGAGGAGAAGGAAGAAGAGAAGGCATTGGGGTGGAAGAGAAGTCACCCCTTGGCGCCATTTCACCCATAAAATTTTAGCTCTCTTGGTGTAATTCAAGATTATTTTCTTTAGATCAACACTGCACTGCATTATATATTGTCAATATGTAAAATATATTTCAAAATCACCAATAATTTGCTTGGAAACACAGAAAAAAAGTGTTTAGTTGAAGAGAGTCTCAAGCAAGATGTTACCTCCAGTGAAAACAGAGAGAGACTAACGCCTGTTTGCTGTGTTAAGAGGCTGGATGCCGCGCATTAAACTAGTCACTTTACCTTCAATTATGTTCAATAATCGTTAAAATGACTAAAAAATTGAATATTAAACTTTTAAAATTATTGAATAGTATAAACTTCTTGATATTTACTAAAATAGTAAGGAATTTAAGCCCTAGAACCGATTAATGTATTGGCGGACTGATACTAAAGCTGGTTGCCTGGTCAGTGCAAGCGAAAACATGTTGAGGTCGGTTCGTAAGAAATTCGTTAACCGAATTTTTGTTCGTTAACCGAATTGAAGATCCTCATGGAAGGCAGTTCGTTGACCGAAATTTCGTTAACCGAGGCGTTCGTTAAACGAGGGGTCACTGTATTTAATTCAACCAACTTTCACTTCCATTGTAACTGTTTTCCATTTCTTGGATGCACTACTATCACTTGCATCAGGTTTGTGTTTGGGAGCCATGATGAGGGCCAAAAAAGAGTTAATAAGCAAAATCAACAGTTTGCACTGGGTCACATACGTTAAGGCGGTGAAGGTAAAGAGTACTGACGCGCCCTCCTTCAAGGCACGTGGCTGGGTGTGACTTATGTCGGATTTAAAAAAAATTGACCTTATGGGACCTCATTCGTGCCGACGGGTGTTTGTAAGTCAGGGGCCCCCTGTATGTTGAATTTTTTTCATTGTTTAGTTCTTTTAAAAAAAATAGCCCTTACGCCCCGGGCTGGGGTGCTGGTGGCATTACCCCCCACGCGGGGTAAATCGAGAAAAATCAACTTTACCAAAAATATTTTTTAAATGATAAAACAAAACAAAAGAAAGTGAGAAAAACTATGTATTGACCCTCTAGAAACTTCCCTGGGGGCCACAGTGGCGGGAAAATGGGAGCACGTAGCGAGGGAGTTATGGGGACAGTGTTGTTTTGTTACGAGCGCTTGTGGTTATACGCACTTTGCGGCCATTTTCTGCTTGCCTTTGTGTCCGGGATGGCCAGTAATGAATATGTATATTGATCATAATACTTATTTCCTATAGCTATTTCATTTAAAATATTTTATTTGCATTATTTTTCATAAAAAGTGCTCGGCGACACAAGCAGCCTGTTGTCTGGCTGTCTGTGTTTGGTAGAGCAAGTGATGCATAGAAGTAATTATTGGAATAATAATTTCACAAATAAATAGTCATGCGCTGGTTAACGTCCAAACACATATACGTCCGTGCCCCGCCCCCCCCAAAAAACACTTCCGTGACGCCCTGACGGAGACACGATGATCCTCCCCATAATGGCCAGATATTATGTGTTAAAGGGATATCCTTCCTTCCTTCCTTAGGCATCTGCCTCCAGGTGTAATGTTAACCTACATCTATTGAGGATAAAATCTTTCATCTACAAATTGACAATAACACATTTGCTGTAATCAGACATATCTAGTTGCCTCAACAATTGCAACCCCAGTTGCAATTGGGGTTGCAATTTCAAGTTCTGCGTCATTACTAAAGAATAACGAAGTCTCTGGTGCACTCTAAGATTAAGAGAAAACGGAGGACTCAGGCATCCTGAAGCGAGAGAAAATGGACTCCTATGACGGGGCACTCAAATAAAGATAGACATAGCTACATGTCATGTTTTGTGGACTACCCACTGTACAGTATTGAGCGTACCCTTTTCATCACTTTGTAATAAACCTAGTCATGCCTATGTGTGTGTCTGATAATTACCATAACATTATATCTTTAGTGGGCCTGAATGAAAGCGGTTGTACAAACACAAGCACTCACAGACCTGACAAGTTTTACCAACCATAAAGACAGTTGAAGCTTTAAACATCACTCACAATGGATCTTGAATATTGCAACTGTAATCAGACATATCTAAGCTGCCTCAACAATTGCAACCACAGTTGCAATATCAAATTCTGTTAACCGGCGCATGACTGTACTGTATAGTACATTTATAACATAATCATGGCATTATTTTCCAGTAATACTACACTACAACTGCACTACTTTTAGCAATATTACTTTGATACAACATGATAAAATGGACAAACAGTGAAAATTAAACAAACAAAAGTAGGTGTATTTAAATTCCAGAAGTTTCCCTGTGGCCGATCGTGTGGCGTGACAGGCAAATAGTCACACTGGGACCTGATAATCCACTCTGGTCTTCAAATTAATACCGCAAAAAGGCGCGCATTCCAGTACTGTACGTCGATTGGGGCGTAGGGGTTAATGAAATTATAGACATGCATAATGACAAATTATGGGAAAAATTCTTTACTAGTATACAACTCGCTGGTTAATGTATTTCTCAGTGTGCAATCCCATTATAATACAGTAACATGCAATAATGGTCAGGCAACCACTTCCCTTCCTATCATCCTCAGAAACTGCAAGGCATAGAAATTCCACTTTTCATGCCTGATAAAATGCTGCTGAGCCTACTGCACACATGTGCACGCATTTGTATGTCTCGGCAGGAAAGGAGTGTGTCGACATTGTCTGCAGTTTAAGGGTTAACATGAAATGCTAGGGGTATCGTGTAATTTTGATAACTTTCAAGCTTAAAAGGTTTTTGGAAAGGGAACAATGCTGTTTTGAATTTCAAAATCAAATGCAAGTTCTTTAACTGTCTCATTTGGTTATTTTTATTGAGAAACTGTGTTATTTGGTTGTTACTGCTGATTAGGCCAAGAGGGAATGTAAATATCAGGAACGGTGGAGGCCTTCAGTGTTGGTCTTACTGATCTGCTGTAGAGGTAAACAGATTGACAAAATACAAAAATTTAAATGGTCTGTACAGTATATTCAATTTGTACATACATGTATTTAGTATTTTTACTGGGAGGTTTGAAGTGACATAACCATACTCTGTTAACTGAGGAATGCAGTGGCAAACAGGCACCTACACATTCAAATGTTAAACTGGTCAGTAATTGTGTAGACAAGTAATGGCTTGGAAAAACAAGTGTAATGTTCATGTACAGTGCAGTACTGTACTGTACTAGTATTTTGTTTACTTTTGCTGTATAAAGAATAAAGATAGTGATATTACCTTGGGTTGTGCTTTATTAATAGCTGAACTTCTGCTCTTACATCTTTTCTGTATTTTAATAATAGTCTTACCTCAATTTCAGCTAGCTAAGGATCTTTTGCACCCTTCACCCAGTGAGGAGAAGAGGAAATGTAAACTAAAGCGTCTTGTACAGCACCCAAACTCCTACTTTATGGATGTTAAGTGCCCAGGTTAGTTGGGTAACTACAATAGTTTGTTTTTATTACACCAAAGTATGACAGTATATATATACAGTACATGTACTGTACAGTACTTATTTACCATCCACAGTACAGTATAATGCTTCTCATATCTGATTCCTTACCATGCATCACTCATTTGTTCATCATCATTAACTCAAACTCATTGGGAAGCTTCAAATATAAGGGATAAACAAATTTCATAGTTTGGGTCAATAGCCTAATGCAGAGTCTTTGAAACCTATGTTAGCCTAAAATTAAGGCTGATGCTAATCTTATGGATCCCTACATCTATTTCCTAATTTTATCAATATCAGGTCTCGTAAGTTTGCCTTGTAATGATTGAAAATTGTGATTTAATGAAAATCTTAACCACAGTCATGAGATAACAAGACTGGTGCAATTTCTCAGCCATCGCTAGAGTAGAGACAATGTAGCAAGATTGTCATGACCTCTATGTTCATACACTTAGCTTTGGGGAAATTAAGCAGTATGGATTCATACAATTAACCACCGTGAAATCTTTTTTTATTTATTTTTTCTCCCCATTGTGGTGTTCGGTAAGCAATTGGGGGGGAGGGGGGCGGAGAGCCGGGGGGATGGATGGGGATACGTGATGCACTTGATGAATGCTAATTGTTGCATTTAAGTTTTATCGTGTGATTCATATCTCAGTGTTAAGTGGTCCATAATATACAGTAATATTAAAATATGAAATTTGCATTTTTATCCTTAATTTCAGATAATGTAAACAAGAAATCAGACATAGACAAATACTGTACTGTATGGGACTGTATATTCATCCAAAGATTAATTCTGTACTGTTTATAAATTCTGGAGCATGTGAATGAGTATGACAAAGCAATTGTTCTATGTTCATGTCATAAGATTGTTGCATATCTGCAGACCCAGCTATGCTTTCTATATGCATATGTTGGGGGGAAAATGTATGCAAAATTATACAGGAATCTTATTGAGCATAGTTGTGTTATTCAGCTATGTTGAAATGTAAGATACCCGACAAGAATTATGTCAATGAAGAAATTTTCAATATATCAAGATTTTAGACTCGAGTTAATTAATATTGTATGTCTACTATCCTCAAGTCTCTAATCTTGGATAAGATAATATTTAACCCTTAAACTGTGGCCATGGAAGAAATGGGTGCTCTGTGCAGAGTACAGTATGTGGAAAAAGTGTAATTGTTCAGTTCTTATGGGGGGGGGGCAAATTGTTATTTTAATGAAATTATAGACATAAATGCGTCATTACAGAATATGGGGAAAAATTTATTTACTTTTCTTACAACTCACTGGTTGATGTATTTCTCTGTGCAACCCCATTATAATACAGTAACTTGCAATAATGGTCAAGGAGCTTCTTACCTTCCGCCTTATCGCCCTCTGAAACAGCAAGCCGTAGAAATTTCACTTTCCATGCCTGTTAAAAGCCTACTGAGCCAACCAGTGTGAATTTAATACAGTATACCCTTCCAATACCCAACTAATTCATGTAAGCCCTTACCCCTATTGAGAGGATATCCTTAATAAGTGGGTTTCCTTATTTTCCCAGGGTAATACAATAAAAATTCACATCATTCCCAAACATTTGAAATGCTCAACCCATAAAGCCTCCACCAGTTCTGGTAAAAGTTGTCCTGTCATGCCCAGGGGAGGGTTAAAAGGTGTACAAAAAACGAATACTTGCATAATTTTGCACTCTGGACATTTAAACTTTCAGCTACTGTATGTATCAATGTGTGTGGCCGCATCTCTGGGAATTCCCTGGGACCTCTCAGGCATGCGAGCCAAATATGAATATAAAATTATTTTTATCTATTTTGCATTGAAAAATAGTTTATTTATTTCCTCATTACTCACATGCCTACCTGCCTGAACAAAAAATTTGTTGTTGCTTTCTACCTGCTTACATAAATTTTATATATTTCTATGAATTTTATTGATTTCTCAAGAAAATCTAACAAATTATTTAGATAAACTCTTGATAAAAAAATAACATGATAATGGCAACACATCTAGCACCTACGTGTGTGTCACCACACTACCTCACGTCACCAAAACTATATGATGTTCTTTCTACTGTAAGTTAGATACAAAAGAAATATGCCAAAATATAAAGACACAGAATAAAAGTGGTTACAACCTCTAAGCTATGTAGTGAGTGTGTCAAGAAGATGGTGTACAAGGGAAGGCCTGAGATCCAATTTTCCTTCTGTGGAGCACCATCTATTAACCTCATCCCTCGACCTCTTACTTCTAGCTGAACTTCAACTGACCAAAGCAGCTTCACCCAAACCTTTTCCATTCTCCAACTACAACCTTTATCCCTCTTTCCGTTCTAAGGGAGGTGTATGCGCCTACTGCAACACGTACGTACACCTATGGCTCGACTCACGGATCTTGAATCTTCTCTTTATGGTGTCATCTGGCTCAAAATATCTACCAATTATGACTATTTTTCTTTGTTTCCTCTACTGTTCTCCCAACTCTACCACTTATTTGGAACTCATTAGCTATCTCACTTCTTGCCATGAGTCATTGCCATCCCACACCCCAATACCAAGATCCTCTACCTAGGGGATGTCAATGTACATCACATAGAGTGGCTTGGCTCCTTACTTTATGATCTGGAACAAATAAACACCCGACATGTGTTCTTGGTCGACACGATCAACTTGATAACATGCTATACCTCTAACCCCTCACACTGTTCATATTCAATATCTGCCCCCTTGGGTTTTTTTATCACAATCTTATTTCTGTTTAATCAAACTGGGCATGACCACCTCCCCACCCCCCCTCTAAACGTCAAATATGGCACTATCGGAGGGAAAACTAGCAATCCTTGCGAGAATTCTTATCTGACTTTCCTTGGGATGAATGTTGCTTTTCCACTTGGGACACCTCGGTATGTGCTGACAGCATTGCTGGGGTTATACAGGGTGGCATGAGTGCATTTATCCCATCTACCAAAACATTCACTTTACAATCATGGTTTGATCACTCCTGTTCTTTTGCATGTAGGGAGAGATGGGGTGTATCAAGTTATGAAACTATCCTCCTATTACCCACTCCTCTTTCATTACTTCTAGGAATTGTTGTAAGGCTATTCTTCATAGGGCCAAGCGAAATTTTATAAAAAGAAAGACTACTGTCCTGACTAACTCATCCTCTAGTACGTCTTTCTGACCTGATAACTCTATAGCCAACTCTCCCCCCGATATAGCCAATCTCTTTGGCACCTTATTCTCCTCTAACTCCACCTTAGATGATCCCAACTCCATCCCTCCTACTCCTGCTACCCCTACTGAACCTATGCACTTTCCTATAATCTCCACTCATAGGGTTGCTGGTGTATTATCGAGGATGGATGTGAGCAAGACGCATAGACCGGACGGAATACCCCCTCGTGTTCTGGGGGAGTTTGCTGAAATTCTAGCCCGTGCTTGCTCACCTCTTTTGCCTTTGCCCCAAAACCCAAACTTTTCCTTCTTCTTGGAAGCTTGCCTTAGTTCAGCCCATCCCAAAGAAGGGTGCCCATTCCAATTCCTCTCGCCCCTTTGCCTTAACTTCATCCCCCTCTGAAGATTTTCGAAACTATCTTAAACTCATTTCTCCGCCACCTTGAACGCTTTTCTCTTTTGTCGGATCACCAATATGGCTTTCGCCAGGCTAGATCTACTGGTGATCTGCTCTTCTACTGCGCCCATCTTTGCTCATCTTCTCTTAGGGATTATGGGAAACTTTCGTCGTGGCCCTCGACATTGCCAAAGCATTTGACAGGTTATGGCACAAGTTTTTGCTTTCTAAACTTCCCTCTTATGGTTTCACTCCTCCACTTTGTTCTCTAATTTCTAGCTTCCTTGAGAACCGATCCATGGCAGTTGTTGTCGAGGGATTGATTTCGCACTCTTCCTCTACCAATAGTGGTGTCCCACAGGGTTCTGTTCTTTCACCTACTCTCTTCCTTCTTTTTATCAATGATTTTCTTCACACTATGACTAATTCTATCCATTCATACGTTGATTCTACTCTTCATTCTTCTTCACATTTTTCCCTTCTCCCTAATTCTCAAACTAGTTCTGTTTCTGGAGCTGATATCATTTCATTTATCAATGCGGATCTGTGCAGCATCTCTGAATGGGGAGGTAGAAACTTGGTTAAATTCAATAGTAATAAATCTCAATATTTACCAATTACACTTTCCAAATTAGATGATCTCCCACCAATCACTTTTCAAGATGCAATCATTCTGCCAAATTCTAAAATAGATTTGCTAGGCCTCACCATTTCCCCTAATATGTCATGGAAGCCACACTTCCACAGCATTGCTAAAGCCGCCTCCCGGAAGCTGGGAATGCTGTACAGATGCCGTAGCTACTTCACTCCTGAGCAATTGCTTCAAGTATATAAGGGATTCATTCGTCCTAACTTGGAGTACTGCTCTCTTATCTGGGGTGGTTCCTTTTCTGTCCAACTGTTAGATAGGGTGGAATCAAAGGCATTTCGTCTTATTGAATCTCCTTTAGTTTATATTCTTCTTCCCTTTTCTTCGCCAAAACGGTGCTTCACTGTCTCTCTTTTACAGGTACTTTAACGGACAGTGTTTGGTGGATTTAGCATCCTGTGTACTGCTGGCAAGGCTGTGAGCTCATAACACTCATCGTGCCTGTGGTGCCCACCGTTTCTTTGAGGATGTCAGTCACACTAGAATAACCCATTATAGTACATCCTTCTTTCCTCACACATCCAAACTGTGGAATGCTCTGCCTCCTCCTGTATTTTCGTACTCACTTCAAAAAGCTGGTTTTCCGGCATGTTCGCGGTGTAGATAAATATAATCTTTTTCTTTTCTATTTTTTATTTCTTTTTACTCTTATCTTCTCGCCCCGTTGTGGGTCGATGACCTGTGCCCGGGTGGGCTACTTCCCACAAGAAAAAAAAGGCCAGCTCTCCCTCACACCCCCACCTCCTACCCACTCAGGTGTCCAGGATAGTTGCCGCTAGTCCTGCTTTTACTTATTTATGCTGTAAACTTGTCACTAGTGTATGTGGGAGATTTGTAAGTACAACAACATTTTCAAAATGGCAGTGACGCTATAGTGACAGTGTTGTCCTCTCATTCTAAAATGGAGATGACAATGGGTTAATCGCGGAGCCCGACCACCCACCTTTTTTTTTTTTTTCTAAACAATATTTTGCTACTGCAGTCAATACAGTCACTTGTGTGCAGACTGTTTTCTCCAGTGGATTTAAGGCACAGTGTTTTAAGGATTTGAAGCTAACCCACGGTGAAATTAGAATGTGGTGGAATCTTCAGCTCCTCATAGACTCGTTTGTCTAGTTTGGGGATTTTATTTCCCCTTTACATTTCCTTTTTTGCTTTGTTAAATTCAGTTCTGTCAGTTCTATCACTGTTACACAGGAAAAGGAGAGGGTGAATTTGTAATACTGTATGGTATAATTCGCACTACTTCAGTGAAGCATTATATAACTTTGTTTTACCTGAAGCAGCATTAATTTTGTTCTTGAGCCAGGATTTAGATTAGTTGTTTAAACTAGTCATGTGTATTGCATATGTTCCTTCACATTATTCTGATATGGATTAAGATTTGTAAGTACTGTACAAAGATTATTACTCAAACTCTGTACAACATTTTATCTTTGCAGGATGTTTTAAGATTTCAACAGTGTTTTCACATGCCCAGACAGTAGTTGCGTGTGTTGGGTGTGCAACAGTTTTATGCCAACCAACAGGAGGAAAGGCTAAACTTACAGATGGTATGTTAATTTAAATATTTAAGAGTTTTTACAGTAAGTTCTAAGTTTCCTTGCATAAAGTGGCTCTTAAGAAAAATATTTATCTAAATGTTTAAATTTATAGATTGAGGAACATTTATAGAAGGATACTTAGGGTCATTTACAGAGTACCCTGTATGTTGAGAGGGGAGGAAGAGACTCAAGAATATATACTGTAATGTGTGCATGTTTTGTTTTTGTCTTTTGTGGATTTGGTAGTAAGATACTTGAACGGTAGAAAGAGATGCAAATTTGATGAACAGTGACATGGGAAGTGATTACTATAGTAGTAATGTATTGTATTGGAAAGAAAAGTTAAAGGCTTGTTAGAAATGTTTCCTCATTTTTTTTTACATGGTGCAGAAAGATTTTGTGCACCAATATTGAGGCGGTGTGCAGATGTGTCCTGCTAGTAATTATTATTATTTTTTTTTCAGTAATAAATGTATTTATTTGATACTTTGTATGCATATTTCGTTTTCAAGCTGCATTCTCAAGGAGTGTCAGTTTTCTAGTAACATACAGAAATTGTAACTAGCACTTTATATTAAGGGGAACGTCCGGTTGAAAATTAGAAATTTATGAAAATATTCAGAAAAATTCCTGAAGAAAGCTGTTGCCTATGGTAGTATGCTAACTTTTTTTATTGCGTAATCCGTAATACAGTATTTAAATAATAATAATTAACTGTTTATTGAAAAAGTTCTTCAGCCCAAAGGCTGAAAATATACATTGGACATAAATGACTTATTACATACATTGGTGGATTAACAAAAGCCTTCGTTAGAGAAAGGTAAAGGAACATCCAGATTAATGTAGGTGTTGAACAGCAAACCACATAGTGTAGTAGCTCCCTCCCAGATAGTGTTAGGAGGGACCTCACGTGGTGTAGTTCCCTCACAGATGGTGTTATGAGGGACCTCACGTGGTGTAGTTACTCCCCCAGATGGTGTTATGAGGGATCTCACGTGGTGTAGTAATTCCCTCACAGATGGTGTTATGAGGGACCTCATGTGTAGTAATTCCCTCACAGATGGTGTTATGAGGGATTTCACGTGGTGTAGTAATTCCCTCACAGATGGTGTTATGAGGGTCCTCATGTGGTGTAGTAATTCCCTCAGATGGTGTTATGAGGGACCTCACGTGGTGTAATTCCCTCACAGATGGTGTCATGTAGCTATGCATGATTGCTCTACTTCCCTTTCATTTAGAGGGCCCTTCTGTTTACATAGGAATGTTCTACTTCCCCTTCATTTAGAGGGCCCTTCTGTTTACATAGGAAAAAAAGGTAGAAAAATATTTATAATAATATTTTGGTGTAAAGTAATACCAATCACTTGGTGAAAGTAAGAATCTGGCATCTTTCTCAGCTCGTGAGTGAGGTACGATCGTGAGTTGCCCTCAAGCCACTGTTATCGGCCTGTATCTCAGAACTAGTTTTTCTAACCTTCAAATCCCCAAGGCTCTGCCGATTATGGGCCGATTCTAATAAAACAAAAATTATGTAGTAGAATAGCATACTGTTCATGGCATAACATATGTATTTTCTTTATATTTGACTTTGTTTATTATTTGCTGATTTGTCTTTATGAATGTTTGGAGGAAATAATGGTAAGTTATGAAAAAAATTCATGCACCTAATACGAAAGCAATAATTAGAAATATCTATGTTACGTTCAAGAGTAAATTACCAATATTCCACGTGAATTTCAACATAATTTAGTGAGAAGTTATGGAGTGCGCTGCTGCAGGTGTTTATTCATTATTCATAGCTGGAAAATGAAGTGTACAACACTGATGGATTGTTGTGCAGGCACATAACCTAAAGGAAACATTGCTTGTGAGAGAGTTTGGAAGACTGTAATAAGTAAAGATTGGAGGCAGATAAATTTTTGCTCGAGTTGAAGAAGCAGAGCATTTCTGAATGGTGAATGTATTGTCAAATTAGATAATAGTAATAACATGTATATTGAGCCACTAATTAGTGAAAAATATGAAAGTACTGTACTTTATACTGTAGTGATTGAATCCGGGGAAATTTGATGGTTTTTTGCTAATTTCTCTTGTGCATAAAAGTAGTGTTTATTTAACATTTTGATTTTTTTTTCAGGATGCTCATTCAGGAAGAAGCAGAATTAAAAATGATGTGAGAAATTTCCCTCCCAGTGCTGCCTTTCCCCCTGTCATTATGTACTAAGACAGCAATAAAGATTTCACTGAGAGGTAAAAACATTTTAGCTTCATTTTCCTTCAATGCACAATGTCTGTATTTAATGTTGAACAACATAATTAACCCGTTAGTACATAGTCTAATACAGCACTCTGTATGTAGATCTGTGTATGTGAGTGGCATTCTCTGACTATTTAAGTAGATCAATGAATTTGATTTTTAGACTAACTGCAGTGTCTGAAATGATCTGGGGGATTAGTGTAGGTCAAATAGGGCACACGGCAACCTCTCAAGTTGCAGCAAGAGTGTGAGACCACCTCTGTGTGTAGGCCTTGGTATTATATCATACGTGTGTTTTTACGTATTTTATATTAACTAAAGAGGGTTTCTTTTTTCTTTCTTTATCTTTATCATTTACTTGTACTCATCCATCTGTTACTGGGAACTCAATATTGTTACAGGTATTATATTAGTTGGGAAATATAGAGAGATATCTGAGTTCCTAAATTTTTTAAAACAAAAGACATGATATGAAGTTAAATGTATTATCCCTATTTCTAACTAGATATACCCTGTGAGGAATTTCGCTATATACCTGTACGATTGCAGAGAAACATCCATAAATTCTTACCGTGCCCAGTATTGCTGCCGCCCCCACAAAAGATGCCTGCCCAGACTCAACACTAAACTGACTTGCTTACATTAGCTGTAGGGAGTACATTCTGAGTGTTCAACCAGAGTCTGTCTTTTAAAGATGCTTATGCATTTTTTCCCACTGATTGGCTCCTTCACAATATGGGCGTAGTCAAGTAAGTTCTATGGGCGGAGTTATCTTCTTGGCACTTGGTATAGGCCTATGGTCACCCATGAGGAGGTGACGAATGGTGATGAATTGGGGTAATTGTCGCTTGACAGGAACTAAACACACCGGGCCCTACAGGTTAACTTGAAAGTTCCCGCACTACTAATGTATGTGAGTAGTAAATGTAGTGAGATGCATTGTTGCCAGTTTATAGTGTAAACACTATTAGTATGAAGAAATATACTTGTAATTTATACACTTATCATCACTGTAATAAATAAATTAGATGCTTATAAGTAATAAATGTGATCAAATTAAGTGGGGGGAACAGTGAAGACATAATTTTATTAGTAGAAAGCATAACTCGATGTGTTATGGCCAGGTGTGAACCATGAAACAGTTGACCCTTAGGCCCCGGGTGACATTCCAGAACGTCCGCCTATTTTCCCGCTTTTTTTAATTAAATTTTTTTATTTATTTTTGTTTTATTATTTTTGGAAAAGTTGATTATTTTTTTTCACGATTTAACCCCGTGGGGGGGAAGGGGGTACTGCCAGCAGCACCCTAACCCGGGGCTTTAGGGATAAAAGGAATTTTGGAATATTCGAAGAGCAAGTAAGTAAAGTATTCTGTTAACTATATGTCAAATTATTACATTTATATACAGTACTGTAGTACCTTTGGCCATCTTTTACTTCATGTAAACTTAGAAGCTATGTCAATCCTCATACTCCTCTCATAAAATTCTCATACAGTAGTGCTTGTTTAAATATTGGCACACAGGTTTATTCTCGCCTTTACCAACATTTTGTAAGCATCTAATGTTAGTGATGATATCATTACTAGTTCAGGACACTGTCACACCTAGATTGGGAATTTATGAGATGATAGCCGAATATCCAATGCATAGTAGTATAAGGTGGGCAACTGCAGGTGTTCTAATCTCTGGGTAACCGAGATACAAAAGTAGACACTTATTTTTGAACTATCAGAAAAATAAAAAACTGGTGCATTTAATTTCATCAGGACTGGAGGGCGTTGTGTTTCCCAGGAGGTCAGGGTTGTAGGGCATGTGTGTGCCCCGGGAGATCAAGTTGTATGTGTTCCTCAAGAGGTCAGGGCTGTAGGAGGTTGGGGCTGTAGGGCTTGTGTGTGTATCCCAAGGAGGTAAGAGTTGAAGGGCATGTGTATATGACCCGTAGAAGGTCAGGGCCAGAGATGGGGTCAATTCAATTCAATTCCAATTCAAAATATAATTTGAATTAATCAATTCCAATTCAGTTCAATTCATCGGCAAAAATGAAATCTTCAATTCAATTCACAAGCTTTTCAATTCCAATTTAATTCATTATGGTCGATATTTCATTCAATTCAATTCAAAATCAATTCTAATCTACCATTAATCTAATGGAAAGAAATAAAAATTTGAGGTTTCAAATTAACTTCTTTATTTTTTATCAAAAATGCTGTACCACGCAAACCAATCACATTCTTTACCAACCAAAAGTTCAAATGGTTTAATTCTTTGTATTAGTAAACAAATTATGAATGAGTCCAAATTACTGAGGATTGCATCTGATCATCATAAGATGCTCAAATCTTTTATCGCTTAAATTGCACCTCTCTGGCCCGAAGAGCTTGCTAGCAGTGGAGAACAGTCTTTCCACAGGGGCCGATGTAGCAGGAATGGCTAGGTACTTTGCTACAAGTCTGGTGACAGGAAACTCGGGTTGCTTGGCCTTCAAGTAGCCAAGGGGATCACCATCTTCCTGTAGACATGGCTGGTTGAGGTAGAGTGAGACCTCAGTTTTTGATAGAGTTGGTCTTGGTGTAGAAGACCGGTTGGCCAGGGCAAAGAACTTGTTCCTCTTCATCGGTGGTGGTTCAGCAGGGGAAGTGTCTGTTGTTGTAGGATCAACACTGCGTGCCATATTGTATTTCACAGTCAGGTCACGAATGTCTTGCACTTCATTGTCATAGTCATGACATTATAATACAGTATATTATTTTATCAATTCCAATTCAATTCAATTGGTTTTAATTTTGTATTTTTTCAATTCCAATTTACGAATTTTTTTTAATCAATTCCAATTCAATTCATGATTGACCCCATGTCTGGGGCACCTCTATAGGGTGTGTCTCCCCCAGGAGGTCAAGGCTGTAAGGCATGTTTGTGTCCCCCAAAAACCGGATACTCAAAACAACTCATAACTTACGTATATTAGCGAGATACAGTAACTCTTGTGTTTACCCTGTAAATTCAGTTCTCTTGTCGGAAGGTAGATGGCAGTGCAGGAGCTAGTTGGCCAATCAGTGCTCAGTTAACAAAATCATCAACCAATCACAAGAGAAGGAGAAATCAGCTGAGAGCGACGCACGTGATATTAGTTTGTAAACAAAAGATGGAAGGACTCAAAGAAGAAACGACCAAATTTCAGTGAGACGGAAGTATACGCCATGGTGTGTGAAGTCGCCAAAAGAAAGAAAATAATTTTAGGGAAGTTGGACTCGAGATGTACAATCAAATATAAAAGAATCATGCCTGGTATGAAGTAGTAAAGGCAGTGAATGTTGTGGCTCGAATCCCCCAATGTTGATGAAGTCAGGCGGAAGTTTTCCGATTTCTGGTAAGCGCAAAGAAGAAAGTAGCACAAGATAAGAAATATACTGGTGGAACAGGTAAGTCATAATATTGTAGGCATAGGTATTGATTGCCACTCTGAAACAAACTTAACTCTGTTTTTTCTGTGGCTTGCTATGATTTGAGGTGGTTGTAAACTCAAGGAAGTAGTGTATGGTGGCTCTTCATCGTGAAATAATACACATAATTTAATTATATGAGCACATTCATTAAAAGAAACATTCTTCGAAGTTTGCTGTGTGAGTAATTAGTAATAACTATCACTGATAAATGTTAATAATTGCCCCACAACTTTTGGATTTTCTTAATATACCTATCAAATAGTTGAGACAATTTTAAGACACTAGTTATTGTGTCGCAAATGACATGGAACAAAGATATTTAATATTCTTCAGTGTGGCGGAGGCCACCCGTTGGTAAGGAAGTTAGGTTTGGTTACTGTTATAAACTACCGTATATACTCGTTTATAGGTCGACCCTGATTTTTTGACCAAGAAATCGTTAATTTACGATATTCCTCGTTTATAGTTCGACCCACGTTTTTGAGGGTAATGGAACAATAAAACCTTCACTAAAAATGCTCTACGTCCTATAAACTGAGGCTCGCCGTGCATGAAACACGAGTGCCGAAGGCAAATTGTTTACCATTTATTATTACGACACTTTACACTGAAACGCGGATAGTTTCAACAAAAATATTGTATATTTCCATTCAAGTATTTATTCAAGTCAGTTAGGAGGGAATATTGTAATACAACAGTTTTTAACTAAACCATTCGAAAAGCGATTACGGTAACATCTTTTGAACGAAAGAAAGCGAAAGTCATTGTTTTCGTCCACTTTAATACGTACGTAATTTCAGCAAAAATATTACAGTACATTTCCGTGAATATATTATATCAAGCACAGTATGAATAGAATATCATTGTAATATAACAGAATTTTAACCGAAAACTATTAAAAAAACGAGTAACATCTCAAGAACAGAAGCTTAGGTAAAGCCTTTTGTTTTCGTCATGTATTTTATCCTATTTTACATTGAAATACATCATGTTTCAGCAAAACTACTTTTATTTCCGAGAATATATTCATTCAGGCGCAGTTTAGGTAAAATATACGTGTGATGTAATAGTTTTTAACTGAAAACGATTCGAAAAACACGTACCCTCTAGCCCTGTTCAAGGAGAGCACTGGGAGAAGCTGTTTGGTGCTGCAGACGATGACAAGGAAAATGATTTTGATGGATTTTAATGAAAATATTCAGAAATATGGTATCGTAGTATTTATTCAAGTCAATTAGGATAGAATATTATCGTAATACAACAGTTTTTGAACTGAAAACCATTTGAAAAGCGATTACGGTAACATCTTTTGAACGAAAGAAAGCGTAAGTCATTGTTTTCGTCACAATTTTATCGCACTTTCCACTGTAATACATACGTCATTTCAGCAAAAATATAACATTTCCGTGAATGCATTATATCAAGCACAGTATGAATAGAATACCATTGTAATATAACAATATTTTAACCAAAAACTATTAAAAAAAACGAGTAACTTCTCTTGAATATCGGAAGGTTAGGTAAAATCTTTTGTTTTCGTCATGTATTTTATCCT